ACGTTATTGAGATTCATCCATGTTGTTGCATGCATCAGTGATTTTTTTGTGTTAAGTGTTACTTGTTTTTTCCTTTGTTGTTGTGTTTTTCCGTTGTATGACTACAGCACAGTTGGCTATTCATTCTCCTCTTGGTGGACATCTGGGCTCTTTCTAGTTTTTGACTACTATGAATAAATTCTTGTACAAGTCTTTTTGTGGACATATTTCCATTTCTCTTGAGTAGGTATCTGGGAGTGAATTTCTGGGGCATGTGATAGGTTTGTGTTTTGTTTTTTAACTGCCAAACTGTTTTCCAAAGTGGTTGTACCATCCTACATTCTCACCAATGACGAGAGTTTTGGTTGTTCCATATCATTGTCAACATTGTGTCGTCAGTCTTTAATTCTAACTGTTCTGGTGAGTATATAAGTAGTATCATATTGCAGCTTTAATTTGTTTCCCTGATGACTAAATGATGTTGAGAATTTCTTTGTGTGCTTATTAGCCATTTGTATACCTTCTTTTGTGAAGTATCTGTTGAAATCTTTTGCCTGTTTTTGAAAGTCAAGTTTAATGAGGCACAATCTACATACAGTAAAAAATAATCTCTTGTAGGTATATTTTCTATGAATTTTACAAATATCTATAGTCATGTAATTACCACAATCAAGATATAGGACATTTCTGTCACTGCAACAGTGCCCTTGCACCCTTTATAGTCTATACTCACCCCTTCCCCCTTGTAACCACTGATCTATTTTCTGTCCCTAAAGTTGTGCCTTTTCCAGAATGTCATACAAATGAAATCAAATGGTATGTAGGCCTTACAGTCCCATTTCAATTTGATTGTTTGTCATCTTATTGAGTTGTAGGAGTGATTGCATATTCTGGATGCCAGCCTTTCATCAGACATGTGTTTGATGAATATTTTCTTTCAGAGTGTGATTTGCCTATTCTTTTTTGATGGTATTCTTGGTAAGCAGAAATAATAAATTTTGATAAGTTCCAATTTGTCAATTTTTAAATTTGATAGTTATTGCTTTCTGTGCTATGTCTAAGAAACCTGACTGTCCACCATAGAAGAGATTTTTCTATGCTTTCTTCCCGAAACTTCGTTTCAACTTGTTATATTTAGTTCAATGATCCATCTCAAATTAATTTCTGCGTATGGTGTGAGATAGGGGTCAAGGTTATTTTTTCACTAGCTCCCTCAGTCAAAAACTAACCTCCCCTGGTTCTCGCATAGCATGTTATGCACTGGGGTAGACACTCATCATTTCCATCTTCTGTTACGTACTTTATTTTTTGTGGACTCATTGTTTCTTTAATCGGACTGAAAGTTTCTCACAGGCAAGGGTCACATATTTTATGTAAAGAAGCAGATAGAGTAGTGCTAATGAAATATGTTTTGGGGTCTGGTGGAACCAGGATTGAAAGCAGGTGCTATCACTTGCCATCTGTGTAAGCCTGAGCAGGTCTTAGAATGCACGTAGGGGCTACTGTACCCCTGACATGGGGCTAGGAAAGAGATCATAAAGGTGAATGCAGCTCAGGCAGGTCTTGAGGGGCCCCACTTGTGTGTGTGGGGGGTATGGAAAAGGTAATTATTAAACAGTGGTCCAAATGCTGTGACAGAAATATGAATAGGTGGCTAAGGGACCAGAGAGGGTGGGGAATGGCGTCCTGATAAAGGTGAAGCTCACCTTGAATTTCAGTGGATGAGAAAGGTTAGCCAGGCAAAGGAGATTAGACAGGGATTCCCTGGTGGGGACAGCAGCAAGAGCCGAGGTTCTGAAGTGAGTTTCCTTGATGGAAACAAATTACACTTCATGGAGTAGTTTTGAGAACATTATGAGCTAACAAATGTGGCGTAAGGTTGCATTGTTTGAGACATATTAATACTAAAAAAGTACATATTGTTTATATGAAATTCAAATTTAACTGGGCATCCTGTATTTTTATTTGCTAGATCTGGCAAGCTTAATGTGATGGCACTCAGCACAGTACCTCATGCATAGCTGGCACCCAAAAAATATATGTTAAGTTTAACTTTAATCTGTTCTCCTCTGGAATAGAGGAGAAGGGATAAAACTGAGAGATAAAATCTGAAGAGAAGCAATAAAATAGGAAAGGCAGAATTTAGTGCTTGATATTATTGAAAATTTTCCATTCAGCAGTGAGGGCATTTCCTGGCAAGAATAAAGTTTGTCTTTAAATAAGTCTCCCTTCATGGTTAGAAATGCTCCTAGAAAGAAAGGAAGGAGTCCTTCCATGTGGGCAGTGGGTGTAGTTTTGGGGCCAGGGGACCAGAAGGAAAATACTGTGCATAGTTTTGCTCCAGGCATGTCATTTAAATGTTCCTTCTTTCTTCCTTGTTGTCTGAGGAGTTCTGAAAATCCAGGTATTTTGTAGAAAACATTTGGGCACTCAAGTGCCCCCCGCAAATCTGTATGGCTTGGTTTCCCACCATACCCCAAACCTGGGCCCCCTTGGAAGTCTGAATCATCTTACTCTACCTTGAGCCACCCCGAGGGCTCCGCTCCCAGGACTGTGCTTCCTGACCCACTGTCGGAGGGGAGTCAGGGTGCTCCCAGCCCTAGGTGATATGGCTGAGTCTAGATGTGCTTAACAAATTGCCTGTTCACTCAATTACATTTTATTTAATCATCTGTAATCATATAAATTATGCCTGATGGTAGTAAATGTTCATGTCAGTTCCTAATTACAGATTGATTAATTGGCTGGGGTGATCTGTATTACTACTTATATAAGAATATATGAGGTTGATGATAAATTAGGGTTGGTAATCTGAGCCCAGGAACATGGAACATTTCCAACTGCATCCCCCTTTTTGGGGGTGGGGAAGCCATTGCCCTTTTCTTATCTTATTCCTGTCAGAGGCTTCCGGGAGGGTTTCTGTTCTATGGATTGATTGATTTTGGCAACACTTGTGTCAAGAAATACTTACTACTTAGGTAGTATATATGTGTGTTTGTGTAAAATTTTTGTCATGCAGTGCTCCTCTTTTTGGCTGTAGCAGAGATGAATAATGACAAGCTCATTAAGTTCAGTTGGGCTCATTACAGCCTGCTGGGCCCGGAAAGTTCCAGGGGTTGGATATGGCCTAGAAAGCAGGAATCCAGAGAATGAAGACGTGAGGCACTTGATCAGTGTCTACAAAACCAGTCCTTATTAGGTGATTCCATCTTTTTGTTTCCTTAGAAGCTAGAGTGTTAAATGGTCCAGAATGTACCTTGCACTTTTTTCTAGGAACATTAGACCTTGGTGGATGTCTTTCAGGCAACTTGCCTGGGATGTCTAATTGCTAGTTCTCAGCTTTTGAGAACATCATTTACTTAGAACGAACCCTACTTCCATCATCTTTGCTTCCCTCCCACTCATACTTTAGGCTAAAGGTAAAGAGGAAGCAACATGGGCTAAGACATGTGGGAGGAGGGAGGGAGAATCTGAAAACCCAGGGGTGGACCCTGGTTTCAGGGAAGGGGCCTGAGACTTGATCCTGGTTTCCTTGGCCTCTGAGAAGGGATGGGCAGAGGAAGAATGGCAGAGAAACCTGTGAGAGTTGAATCCTCTGAAGATGCAGCATCCCAGGGGCTTGTTACTAGAGAGAATCATCAGCTGACCTCTCCCCTTGACAAGCAAGCTACCATGGGAGCAATGATTTATTGCCACTGAGGGTCATGGGTGACCTTCCTTTCTTGGGGATTTTTTAATATGGTGATTGTATCATACAGCATCATGCCATAGATCACAGCCTCTACCTGAGTTTCCAATCTTAGTTTTACCACTTAGCTCTGTGATCTTGGGCAAGTTACTTAGTTTTTCTATGCCTCAGTCTCCTCCTGTAAAGTGGGGATAATGATAGTCCTACATTATAGGGTTGTTGTCAGGATTCAGTGAGTTAACAAAGATATGGATGCTGAGAACACTGTCCGATACATTGGACACATTAAAAAATGTGGGGAGAGAGTTGTTTTCGTAATCCACTAATGTGATCTCAAAACAGCCCTGGGGATACTCTGGGGTGGATTACTAAACTCCTTTGTTGGTGAGACAACTGAGTCCCAAGGTAGTCAATGGCTTGCTTCTGGACAACAGTTTAAGTAGTGGTAAGGTTGGGGCCAGTTGCGGTGGCTCGTACCTGTAATCCCAGCACTTTTGGAGGCTGAGGCAGGCAGATCACCTGAGGACAGGAGTTTGAGAGCAGCCTAGTCAACATGGTGAAACCCCATCTCTACTAAAAATACAAAAATTAGCTGGGTATGGTGATGCCTGCCTGCCTGTAATCCCAGCTTCTAGGGAGGCTGAGGCAGGAGAATTGCTTGAACCCAGGAGGTGGAGGTTACAATGAGCTGAGATTGCACAACTGCACTTCAGCCTGGGTTACAGAGCAAGACTCTATCTCAAAGAAAAAAAAGAGAAGTAGTGGTAAAGCTGGGACTAAAACCTGTGTCCCCTGACTCTCATTCTTAGTGTGAGAGGTGATGTGCCTGTAGATGAGGCCAGTAGTATTTGGTCAGAGGATTCCTAGTGTCCACACTTGCATGGAACGATCTTGCCCTTCTTTTAGCTTCCTTGGGCTGAGAACTCAACTCTTATCTGGCAAAAGCAGAGGCTTCTCTTGAGTGAATCCATTTCTTTCCCCTTGATTTTCAATTTACGCTTTCCCCAACTTGGTAAAATGATCAATCTATTTCTTCTTGCTAATACCCCATGATACGATACATGGGCCAAACTGGGCCTCATAACTTCCTTTATGAGTTAACCCTTTGTGTGTTTTAGGGTTTTCTTTGGGACTCCATTTGAGGCAGCTAATGTGTGGTGTGACTAAGAATATCACACAACTTAGGACCAGGGAGCCTGACACCCAAACCAAGTTTTTTATCACTAGGGAGCTTTTTGCTGCAAGTAACTGCAAGTAAATGAAAATAAACTAAATTAAACTTAACACCTAATGAGTTTTTTTTTGTTTGTTTGTTTTTTTGTTTTTTTTTTAGCTTGTGGAACAAGGTATCCAGAGTTATGGCAGTTCCAGAGGTATGTAGTACAGCAGCTCAATGCCATCTTAGCCTTTGCAATCTGTTTGACTTACCCACCTTACCAGGTTCCCCCATGGCTACAGATGACTGCTGTGGTACCAGACATCACATATACATTAAGTGACTTCCAGAAAAAAGATGTTTCCTCCCATTTGCTTCTTTATTAGCTGAAGTTTCTCAGCTGACATTTTCTCAGGTCCTACTGCCCAAGATTGGATCACATGTTTTCCCTAAACTAATCATTGTCAAAGGGATTGAGATAACTGTGATTGGTCTAGACCTATGATTGATTCCCTGGTGATCTGGGGAGAAGGGCCACCTTTCCTGAATATATGGCCTGGTAGAGAGTGACACCAAAACAAAATGGAAACTGTCAGCCACAAAAAGTAGATGTGTATATATGTGCAGGGTTAGAGGAAATTCTTTTTGTTGTTGTTTTTTTGGTGGAGTGGGTAGTCAACAGTGTCTGCTCTGGGCAAATCACACAAAGTCCCTGAAAGGCAGGAACCAAGAAAATCCCCTGTCAGGTCCACAGGAATGAAGATTCAAGTGCCCCAGAAGAAAACTACAATAAGTATGGCATATCTCCAATATAACTCTGGTTTTTATTAAGCTCTTCTCATTTTGCTGTTTATAATACCTTGCAATGAGAGATGGGTTTCACAACTTTATTCTGCACATCACCTGGAGGTGTCAGATGGTAAATCTGTAAACAAACCACACACTATTGTGTGTGATATACAGGAGAAGTGTAGTCTCCGTTCTCTCTACTCCTTCTTTCAAATAGGCCCAGTTGACGCCATCTCCAACTTCAGAGGAAGATTCCCATGACTCCTGGCTAATCAGCCTGGCATCCTCTTGGCTGTGATAACGAGTCCAGAGATGGGCAAGTTGACCCAATCAGATTGAAGGAAAGGACTGCAGTTGCACCAGGGGAAGATTCCTTTTTCCAGCTCCTGCTGTGTGGGAATGAGAAAGCACCCAGCTCTACTGTCCCTGGAAGCCATCTTGTGAACACAAGGGGACAGATATTAAATTATATCTGACAAGAGGAGGACAGAGTTGAGCAAGGAAAAGACACTAGGGCCTCAGCAGCATCATTGAGCTGAACCTGGGGTCTCCACCTTTGACCTTGCTGAGTAAAATGACAGTTTTCCTTATGACTTAAGCCAACTTAAATTGAGGATTTGGCTACTTGCAACTGAGAGCATCCTTAGTGAAACAGGAATCAGTTATTTTCCTTTACAAATGAAGAAACTGAACAAGAGAAAGGAAGTGAGCTGCCTCTGGTCCTATACCCAACAGAGTGATGGATAACTGGAAGCCAAGTCTTTTGACGCTGAGGTGGCTTTTTTTTTTTTTTCTACCCAATTCCCTCCTATCATGGGGGACTTCTTAGTGAGCAAAAGTTATCTTGAGGTGCGCTGGGGAGTCAGAGGGGAAGGGTGAGATGTTTCCTAGGGCACCAATAGGGTCTGGATGGGAAATCTAATTCCTTCTGGGTTGGCTGCTGGCTGCCATCTGGTCGTAGATAATTATTACCCTGCCCTTTCTTTGTCTAACTGGCTCTGCAGTGGGAACAATGGATTCCAATGAATTGTGCTGGTAAACAATATCTTCTGCTTCCTGAGGGCAACTTACAAAACAAAGGATGAGTGTGCCCCCACTAAGAGGGGGGGGAGCAGGATGGAGAAGGGACATAGACTAAGGAGCCATGGTAACAGGCACCTCTGAGGTTGGTCATGGGGAAAAGTCAGGCTCGGGCAGACCCAGCAGCTGCAGCCATTGTGAGGTTGTTCTGAGGGCCACATCACTCCATCTATGACACTGTTAGTTTCAGAAAGGAGCTCACTGGTAGAGCTTCTGTTGCATAGAAGTTGGTCTGTGATGCATGCCAGCTGTAGCCTGGCTGATCCCAGGGTGAGCTCTGGGGCTAAAATGGCTCATCGGAGTTGTTTCATATTAGGTGGAAATAGCCTGGCCTTTACACTCCTATCTTCATCTGTCATTAGATGTGGGCTGCCCTTGGAAGGATGTGACTTGGGGCCCGGTGGCTCTCTGTAGCCAAGGTGATCCTGGAGGGGTTGACAGCAGAAGGCTGACCTCTGACTGTGTTCCTGGCAGCAGCATCACCAGTCCTTGAAAGGGGATCTGGGTGGTGCATCTCTGTGTTCATCATACCTTTCCCTACAAACTACTCACTGAGAATTTCCCATTTTGGATTTGCCTCCTTAGATTCAAGGTAGCACTGCCTTGAATCACATATCATACAGTAACTACTGTATGGTGGCTTGGTCTGTATTTTCGTGGGAGTTCTGGGGACTGTGACTCCACCTCTTTGCGCAGCCATGGTGATGTCGCAGGGGTGGGGCTTCTTGAACAGGGAGACTGTTGCACTATCTAGGTTTACGCATCATGTCTGCTGTGAACCCTGGTGGCAATGCAATGCTCAGCAACTAGCAGCCCACCTTAAGTCTTAGAGGCCAGTTCTTGGCTTCAGAGGGGCCTATCAGGCTGGGAAGTGGTTCTGGCCCTTTATGGATGGATGGTTAGTCAGTGCTGTTATCACCGTCTAGCATAATATATATTTTACTGACTGGCTCTTGCTGGGGCCAGAAGTGGGACCCAACCCCAGTCTGTGATGCAAGTTAGTTGCAAAGCCTGACTTTGTCTCTTTTTCCCCATCTATAGAACACAGGTAATATCTCCTTTTCTGTTTGTAGTAGAAAACTATTGCGAAAGCAAACACAGTAACAAATACGAAAATAAAAAAGAAGCCTACAGAATTGTGAAACAGTGCCACTATTATGTCGGTTATTATCAGAAGTAGCTGCTGAACTGCATGGAAACCATACCTCATATGCCTTGGCTCCATCCTAGAAAAGATAGATGCCAAATGCAAAGCATTTGACTTTGGGCTAGTGGTTCCCTGTGCACCAATTTTCTCTGCAGAAGAACCAGATCCTTTTCGCTAGAAGACCCAGCTCGAATCTCACCTCTGTATTGGTTAGTGATGGATCACTTTTCTGATCTGTTTGCCTTGTGTTTATTCCTGTCACACTTACCAACCTGGTCTTCTGGAGGTTTTGGTTCGGTGTGTAACACAGGTAAGAGGATCAGCTCTTGGATGGCAGGAATTATCTCTCTTCTTTCCTGTCCAGAGCCTCCCAAATTCAGAGACAGACAGGGCTTTGGGCAGCAGAGGCATTCTCAGACTGTGGCCCACAATTGAGAGGAGCAGGTGTGGGTGCCTGGCAGGTGGCCAGAGCTGCCCTTTGGCAGGTCTTGGGCTTAGAGACTCATAGGATGCACTGAAAGAGATTTGAATGATAATTTGATGCAATTCCTATCACTTCTCCCCCCTCCCCTACCAATTTAATAGTCAAAAAACATTTTTGGAGCACCTTAAACATGCCAGGCCCTGTGAAAGGGAGGAGAGATGTAACATTGAATAAAACATTAAAATCCCTGGCCTCATGGGACTTACACACTGATTTTGAGGTGAGGAGCACATAATAAATAAACTAGATGGTAAAATATATATTATGTTACACGGTGATAACTGTGTAAAGAAAATCAAGCAGGTAGGAAGGCTGGATAGTGTCTCAGAGGGGAAAAGGCATGGTATTTTAAATAGGGTTGTCAGTGAAGGTTCCACTGGGAAGGTGGCATTTCAGCAGAGATGTGGAACAGGTGAAGGAATAGCTGTGTGGATATCTGAGGGAAGAACATTCATTCCTGGGGTGTGAGCAGCATGTGCAAAGGCCCTGAGATGGATCCTGGCCTGGCAAGTTTGAGGTATAGCAAGGAGAACAGGGGCTGGAACAGGCTGGTGGGGCCGGGAAGAGTGGCAGGTAGGAGATGATCAGACAGATGATGGGGGCTGATAGTGGAACACCACAAAGGATCTTGCAGGTCTTTGCAAGGACTCTGGCTTCTGTTCTCAGTGAGACAGGAGTCATTGCAGGGTTCTGAGCTAAGGGTGGCATGATCTGGCTAGGATTTAAAAGGATGTCTCTGGCTGGTGAGTAAATAGATTATAGGAGGCAAAGTGTAGAGCAAGGAGATCAGTTAGGTGTCTGTTGTAGTAATCCAGGCAAGGGGGAGGGTAGCTTGACTGGGGGCATATCAGTGGAGGTGATGAGAAGCAGTTGGGTTGTGGAAGCATCATGAAGCCAATATTGGAAAATTTAATGACAGATGAGGATACTAGTCCAGATAGTGATTTGGGCCAAAGAGGAGTGATCTACTTGAAGTTGTATAGCTAGTGGCAGACTAGGACAAGAATAACCTGGAACAAAACTGATTTCTGTGCCTGAATGTTGCTTCCCTGTGTGTTTGATGTGCTTGTTGGCTCATGGACGTGTGTTTGTGCTAGTGAGTGCTTTGTTAGTGTGTGCTTGTGTGTGTGAGTGTGTCCATGTGTTAGCACATGGGGTCCTTGCATATGGGTGCAGGTGAAGCTGGGCTGGAGCAAATGAAAGCAACAATTAGAGGGAGCTGCACCTCAGGTGACCACCTCCCACCTTGGAGGAGTCCATAACCATTGTGTGCCTTTCCCTACCTCCATCCTGCCCATTCCTCCTCCTGGCCCCTTCCGGCCCAGATCCTTCCCCACCCAGCCCTGCTGATCCCAGAGCAGACTAATCTGGCTTTCATGAGGCAGTCCTTCCCCATCTGCTCTAACAATGGTAAGGAAAGATTGAACCCTTAGGGCTTCATTCTGACTTTTTTTTTTTTAAACATGTAATTTGCTCAGTCCAAGTCCCAGGTGGCCAGCTCTGTGACTGGGTATCTCTTTGTGGCTTGGAGCTGGGATGGGGACAGGAAGGCATGGCGGATAGGGTGGGTGGGAGAGGAAGACTCACACAAGACAGTGACAGAAACAGTGATGGGATGATGTGTCTTTGTCTCCGGGAAGAAGTGGATATTCAGTAATCACCTGGGAGAGATGCCTGTGACACTAGATGGGAATAGGGATTTTCGTTAGAATACCGG